GTTCCTGCCCACCTAAGCTTTGACCTCCCTTCCCAAAGGATATGTCTAATGCTGTGTTCTCTGCTCTTGCCTTAAAGCATGTAGTAGTTCAGAGAGACTTCTCCCCATCAATCTTTCAATCAGAAACTTTTCATGACCACAAAGATACAAAAACCTCAAAGAAAGGGATTGCATATTTGTGGAACAGCTCAGCTGAACAATAAAGGAGCCACTGAACAACATAAAATGCCAAAGGCTTTGCATTCTTCCTCAGGAGACATTTTCAGTAAAGCAAATACAAACTAACGAAAAGTAGAGTGCCTAAGCCATGGTTTACTTTAAAAAGGAACTTGAATGAGTTTGGTTTTATACATGCCTTTCAAAGAAGCCTTGGCAGTCCTTCCTTTTTTGGACTTATCAGTCCACATCCCTAAAAAACACTATCTAAATTATACTATTTTAACCAAATGTTGCCAACTTTTTTGGTTTTATGTAAGACTAATAAAAAACGTTCTTCTTTGGTGCACAATGGGACCAAGTATGTTTAATAGGCACTGGAATATTAGGATTCTCTAGAAGGATTAGTGGAAGATGGTAACTTACATTATAGTATGCACATTTCAAGGCATTACTGTATGAGAACATTTAGAATAGAGAAAAATGAGAGAATTCCCACACAGTCAATATCACATACGAGAAACTACTGAGAAGAGTAAGGTCTAATTAACAAAAGAAAAGGCAAAAAGCTTCTGTCCTTTCAGATAAAGAAATGGAAGGGATTGCTTAGCATAATTCAGGAGAATATAAGCATGAATTGCTTCTGTGAAGGACATATGATTTATTCTAAGCAAGACATAGGCCAAGTGGTAAAACATCTTGACAGTTCTTTTAAAGAATAAGATGTTCATTGGGTGTGTGGAATAATTTTAAAAAGAAAGTGTTTGCAATCCCTCTTCTGAACAGAGCATTGGTGTATAAATGCTAGGGAACAGGCTATATGTAGATACACAGAGTAACACTCTGGCACACCCATTCATCCCTCTGTGATTTCACTGTCAGTATCATAAATGGATATGAGTGACCACCACAAGTTTAAACTCCTGAAGTAGTAGTTTCAAGTCATAAAAACAACTTTTAAAAAATACCTGATCTCTGCAGATTTAGTCTGATGAAATGGCTTAACCAAATTGTGTTTCTACTGATAAAATCCTTCAGTATAGTCCTGAAGGAAGGTACATAAATACTTTAAGAATTGCCATTGTAGCAAATTTGCAAAATAATTGGGCAGCTTCTTGACATAAAGTAATTAGCCCACAATTAATTTTTTGCCTGGTACTTTTCCAGCAATAAGCATCAGGATTGCTCAGTCGAGAAAGTGTGAAAATGCAGCTCAGAAAGCTTTAATAGGGATAGAGCCTTTTT